TTTTTTGGTTGCAGCCATCATTGTTGTTTGGCGGGTCCGGGCTGGAGATTCGAACCCGCCACCTTAGGTGTACGTGGCTGGCGCCTTAGCCGATTGAGCTATAGGCGCTGAGCCCTTCAGCCCCTTTCTGCCAGAGTTCTTTATCTAGAGCCCACATGCCATTGAAGAGGCAAGGACAGACTTCTTTAACTGGCCACTCAATCCGTCCCTTCCTGGGTGTTGACACCTGAAGGCCCCCACATTCCTCCTGGGCACCCCACAGCGAGGGGATATATGACATGGCCCTGAGTCAGAATCCATCCCCTGCTCACTAGCACATGGAAAGGGGAACTGCCCTCTTGCCAGAGAGCATCCGGGTGCCCGGTCTTGACCGATAGGAACCAGATTGGGACTCTTCTTGTTTCCTGGCTGAGGTCAGAGAGCAAGGCTTTGCTTTTTTCTATTGCACGCTAGGCATGTAAAAAGAAAGAAGTAATTAATTTTGAAAGCACCGGAAGTTACCAAAATAAAGTGTCAGGCCCTCATGGCCCAGCTTGGCAACCTCACTTTATCACTGGCAGAACATCCTACAGGCCTGACTCGGGATCTGAGCTAGCAATGGGCTAGCTGTGTGCCATTGCCACCTCCCAACCCCAGTGGGTAGTCTCCCCAAAGGTGACAGTATCACTTGAGCCTGGAGTTCAAGGCTGCAGTGAGCTATGGTCACACCTGTGAGTAACCACTGCCCTCTACCCTGGGCAACACAGAAAGCCCTGTCTCTGAATGAATGAATTTATTCATTCTAGCGATTAATTTTAGAAAAGAAAGGATCCAGCAATAGTAAGTGCAATACCACATAATTTCTTCAAAGAAATTTGATTTATCCAGTTTAAAATGTGTACAAGTTATGAGCCAGCATTTCATTTCCAGAAACCTGTCTCCCTGGGAAAGGACTAAGTAAAGAAACTGGCATATTCAGGGGCATGACAGTGCTGGTGTCATGAGGTGTAAACAGAGCTTATTGAGGGGAAACTTAGGACACAGCTAATCCCCTAGGAACCTGTTAGCCCACAGAGAAGTGTGTGGAGGCTGGGCAGAGCTACACCAGATACACCACGAGGAAGGTTCCAGTAAGGGGGGCCCCACCCCCAAATGCCTCCCTATTTATAAAAACAGAAGTAGGGTACACGTGGGTGACAATACGATAGTGGAACTATGTGGTTGAGGTAAATGGCCTTGTGAGAAAGAGAGAATGCTCAGAGCTCAACTTTGGCATCGGGCAGTTCTATTAAGCTAATTCAGACCAACTAGGAGCTCCTTCCGGCACTACTGAGTGGGAAGGGCTGGATTTATACGATTATATACGATGTCGCCATTATAAAGGATAAAGTATGTGTGTACACGCCCATTCTCAAAAGAGGTGCAGGAGTACACACCACGCCACAGACAGGCAAGGAATTAAAGAGGCAAAAAATTGAGACCGTTTTTCGTACAGTAGATTTCATAATGCTTCCGTTTACTGCACCAGGTGTGAACTGTGACTAAAATAATTTTACAGTGGAAGTTTCTTTTTTTAATACCTTTGAAGATTATAGTCCAGTTCTTTCTTTCTTTCCAGTTTTTGGCCGGGGCCAGGTTTGAACCTGCCACCTCCAGTATATGGGGCCAGCACCCTACTCCTTTGAGCCATAGGCACTGCCCAAAAAAGATCGGCTGGGCGAGATGGCTCACATCTGTAATCCTAGCATAATGGGAAACCAAGGCGGGTGGATTGCTTGAGCTCAGGAGTTCAAGACCAGCCTGAGCAAGAGTGAGAGCCTGTCTACTAACAATAGAAAAAAACATTAGCTGGGCGTGGTGGCAGGTGCCTGTGGTCCCAGCTACTTGGGAGGTTGAAGCAAGAGGATTGCTCAAGCCCAACAGTTAGAGGTTGCTGTGAGCTGAGATGATGCCACTGTACTCTACCCAGGGTGACTGAGTGAGACTATGTCTCAAGAAAAAAAAACAAGCCGTATGTAGTGGTAGGTGCCTATGGTCCCAGCTACTTGAGAGGCTGAGGCAAGAGGATTGCTTGAGCCCAGGAGTTTGAGTTGCTGTGAGCTATAACACCATAGCACTCTAGCCAGGGCAACTGAGGAAAATTCTATCTCAAAAAAAAAAAAATAGATTTGAGAAGACCATACACATGGTTGACTCAGCATTTTTATTTGTAAACTACAGGCAAATGTGATTTTTTTCTATTTACTGGATTGTTTGAGTTGTGCTATCAGACAGGAAGGAGCCCTGCTGTGGGAACTGTTGGGTTGGAGCAGCAGTTGTCCCCTCAGAATCCCCTGCGTGGCAGCAAATGCCAGGGAGTCAGACGAGAGGCGTGTGTCTTCCCCAGGGCTGTGGGTCATGGCAGACCCTGAGCTGAGCCTCTCTGAGGGCCAATCTGCATGCAAGAAAGTTTGTAGGACACTGGGGCGGGTGAGCACGTGTCAATCTGTCTTCTAGGCTGGCATGGGGACGGGGTCAGATGTGGTGGCGGTTGTAGAGATAGGATGGGTACAGGCCATCATAATGCCACTGGCGCCACTGCTCCACTGCCTCCCGGTTCCTCTCCTCTTGTTCTGGGCAGGGAAGACAAAGCCACCTGTTAGGATGGGGAGGACCAGGGGAGAAGAGCCACCAAACCTCCACCCTGTGGTGACAGAGCTGGGAGAACCCTGGAGCACATGAGTGCACAGGCGTTGCCTACAGGGGAGGGTCACAGAGCAGGCCACCAGTGCAGCTGAGACCAGGGCCTGGCATCCCTCATTCTTTCACCTGAGCCGAGGGGGAAAGACGTGTTTTGCAGCTCAAAGACATGAAAACTAAGAGGCAAGATTAAAAAGGAACGACATAGTCACAAGAATGGACTATAAACCATGCCCTAAAAACATCGTGAAGGAAATCAGTGTTGACTTACGGTGTTTTTTTTTTCTCCATACTATTCTGTATTTTCTAAGCTTTAAAAATAAAATTTTGTTTTTAAAGCTAAGTGGAAAATGGAATGATGGTGCATGTGTGGGAGATTCGGGGCGGTGGTGTTAGTATAACTGGGATTCGGGGTGTGGTGCCATGGGCTTCATTATCCTTGATTCTTTTCTGTATGTGTGAAGTCCTTCATTATAAAAGGCTAAAAGATCAGAAGGAATTTTGGATGAGTAAGAAAGTTTTGACTATAACTGTCTTGGAGAAGACATGTTTCCAAATAACATCTTAGCACATTTGTAGAATTAGTCTCCCGAAGCCAGCACTAGCAGATGTCACGAGGCCACTGGTACTTGGAAGCATTTGTTGGATTCCTCCAAAAGTTATTCATATGATTACTACATGACCCAGCAATTCCATGCCTAGAAATATACCCAAAAGAATTAAAAATGGGCTGGGCACAGTGGCTCACACTCATAATCCCAGCACTTTGGGATGCCAAGGCTGGACGATAACTTGAGGCTAGGAGTTTAAGACCAGCTTGGGCAACTTAGCAAGATCCACCTCTATGAAAACTTTTAAATTAGCCACGCATGGTAGCACGTGCCTAAAGTCCCAGCTACTTGGAAGGCTGAGGCAGTAAGATGACCTGAGCCCAAGAATTTGAGGCTGCAGCAAGCTATGATCATGATACTGTGCTCCAGCCTGGTGACAGCAAGACCTTGTCTCTAACTATGAAAGGAAAAAAATTGATGGCCAAGCAGAGTGGCTCACACTTGTAATCCTAGCACTCTAGGAGGCCGATACAGGTGGATTGCTTGAGCTCAGGAGTTAAAGGCCAGCCTGAGCAAGAGTTTCTACTAAAAATAGAAAAATTAGCCAGATGTGGTGGGTGCCTCTAGTCCCTGCTACTCGGGAGGCTGAGGCACGAGGATCACTTGAGCCCAGGAGTTTGAAGTTGCTATGAGCTATAATGACACCACAGCACTCTAATCAGGATAACAGAGTGAGACTGTCTCCATTTAAAAAAAAGGAAAGAGAAAGAAAAAATTGAAAACAGGGACTAAAACAAATACTTGTAAAGCAACCACCAACATTCATAGCCCATTCACAATACCCAAAAAGTAAAAACATACCCGTGTTCAACAAAGAAATCCCTAGGGTTCACACCTGTAGCACAGTGGTTACAGCGCCAGCCAGCCACATACACTGAGGCTGATGGGTTTGCAACCAGCCAAGGCCTAAGCAACAATGACAACTGCAACAACAACAAAAAAAATAGCTGGGTGTTGTGGCGGGCACCTGTAGTTCCAGCCACTCAGGAGGCTGAGGCAAGAGAATCGCTTAAGCCCAAGAGCTGGAGGTTGCTGTGAGCTGTGTCGCCACGGCACTCTAACCAGAGTCACAAAGTGAGACTGTCTCAAACAAACAAACAAAAATAAAAAGTAACAAAGAAATTGATAAATGAAAAGTTTTGTGTACGTATCTCTAAACAAACATACAAGTATGTGTGTATATATGTTACTCTGGTACATACTACGACATGGACAAACTTTGATAATATTATGCTAAGTGAAATAAGCCAGCCACAAAAAGATAAAAATATTTGGCAAGTCTTATAAATTAGCACATTGATCAGCGTATCAGAGGGCATTAGAGGCTGCAGGAGGAGGGAAAGGAGAGTTACTGCTCTTGGTGACGCAGGGCTTTGGAACTCCACAGCACGAAATGCCCTTGAACATGCACTTGACAATGGTTAAAAAGGCAAATTTTATGTTAGATATATTTTACCAAAATTTTTTAAATGTATTTGTGAAAAACTTGGGAAGGATGGGAAGTCCTAAGGGGAGGAGATGATGTCAAAGATTAACCCAAAACGTCCTCCTGAGCTCAAGCAATTTGTTTCAAATGTGAATGTCAACAGGAAGCCTGCAGAGCGGGCTTGGGTGCAGCTGGAAGTCACGCTCTGTGACACTGGCTATCGGGAGGGTCTGATGGCTTCAGGGTATAAATAAGACGGGCGTGTGGTCTGTAGCGCCCAGAAGGGCCAAAGGCCTGGGCCGACTCTTACCTAGCCTTGTTAGTGGAAGGCCCTGTGACCCCTGGCGGTGGAGGCGCCCTGCTGCCAGGGATACTTCCTTCCTAGGTAAGCTTGGAATCAGCCCCAGTGCTGAAAACCCTAGGTACTGTGTACCCCAGGTATAGCAGGAAGCTTTGGGGTACACCGTACCCCCCAGCCCTTTCATACACTTCCCAATCCCAATAGACTGGCTGCTCTTTGCCAACCCTGAGAGTGTGATTGTGATGTAGATGCTGATTAGCCCTCCCTCTTACGAAACAAGTGCCTTGGGGAGGAGTGGAACTGAAACAAGTGCCTTGGGGAGAAATGGAACTTCCAACTATCAATTATTCCTCAGGGAGGGGCTTGGGAGGCAGACACTGTGAGCACCGCCTTGGGAGAGCTGTCAGGTCAGCCAGTTTATGTGCGACAGTCATTCTGGGCCAGAGCCAGGGGAAAGGTGAGGCCTACTCTGCCTCTTGGCTCCTCCCTCTTAGGTCTGGGACAACCCCTTCGGGCTGCTTTGCTTTGCCTCCCTCTCTCTGTCCATGCTTGCGGGCCAATCTCTGGGTCTAAGCAGCCCTCTGAGGCCCTCATGCATTGGGTCACCCTTGATCTACATGAACAGGAGCTCTGCTGGTGAACAAGCCTTACCTCCATTCCTAGGGCTTCCTGCTAGCTAGATACCTTGGGTATCTGTGCATCCTTTCTAAACCTCAGTTTCTGTAACTGAAATGGAAATTACAAGCCCATCTGAGGGGCTGGATGTACGGATTAAGTGGTTTGCTTCTGAGTTGTGGCAGTCTGAGTTTTTCACAGTCTGTTCTCAAGAAAGTTTGCTGTGTCAGGATCCGAATCCAGCACCTGTTTGTAGGGCTCCATCACGGGCCACCTGCAAGGTACTGGGCCCCATGTGCAGCCCTTGGTACCTGGTGGTGGTTCCTTTTCATTAAGAGATGCCCTTGGCTTGGCGCCTGTGGCTCAAGAGGCTAAGGCGCCAGCCACATACACCTAAGGTGGCGGGTTCGAATCCCCAGCCTGGGCCCACCAAACAACAATGATGGCTGCAACCAAAAAATAGCCAGGC